CACGCGACCACAGGGAGAAAGACACTCAAAATATACAGCAGGCCTCAGGGTTGGTATGGAACCCACGACCTCCTGCAATCAGGCGAAAGAGTTAACATCTCGCCACCGCGGACCCTCAGTAATACCTCGATATACGAAGCAGATACGTATATTGATTAACTTATAACATTAGTACTCTGAGGTTGCGTTCCCAACCTTCATTATTACCCATTTCACACTATAAACACGTCAATTAATATATTTTATGTTGTACAGTATTTACATTAAAAAAAACTTGCATAAATAAAATAAATGTTGTTTACTGTAAAATACATTCACACCGACCAGTGCAGTCATCAGCATTGCCCATCAAACACCACAGCTATCCGTAGTGGAGTGCATTTCTGCACACTGATTGGCTGGGACGAATGGAACCAACCATTCTTCGACCATCGCAAAGCGCAACGCTCGGGAATCCACGTGGGTGAGTGGGTGGGTGAGTGAGTGGGTGGGGGCGAGTGAGTGGGTGGGTGAGTGGGTGGGTGAGTGGTACCGGGCGGTAACGCTGTGATGAGCAATGCCATAGGAAGAGGGCAAATTTCGATTGGCCATTCCCCTCATGGCGTTTGTAGCCACCACAGCGGCCAAAGGGGGCTCTGGACTGGTGCGAGCGGCTGGTAACCCCTCCATCTTCAATCCAAGTACCACTAAACCACGAAAAAATATCTAAGCTTGTGCCGGAGGCCCTGGGGGGACAGGCGTCCATGACGTCTCCTGGCCAAACCCCATTTGGCGGATCCAGGAGGTTGAATCCTTACCTTCGGAGTTCCTCCAGAAACAACAAAAAGCCACTGCGGGTGGCCATGCGGAATGTTTGAACGCTCACTGCGGAGGAAAGGCTGCCACTCCTCTGTCGGCAGCTGGACCGGTACTGCCTGGATCTCCGTGGTATTCAGGAGATCCGGTGGTCTGGCTCTGGCTCCTGCCACCAGGCGGGGTGGACAGTCCTCTACTCGGGGCAGGAGACTGCCAAACAACAGGGAGTGGAATCTTGATTTGAAGCTTTCGTGACTGCAGGAATTTATACAGTTTGGTTCTTCGGTAAAGTCACGTAGAAATAACAAAATAGATCACGACGTTCGATTGTAACACAAGCAACCGTCATCAGGTGAAACAGCTACAGCAGAAAAAAACTGCTGAGGCAGGAAAAATATAGCGAGAGAAGTGTATGTAAATGTAAGCTCGGAGAGAGACACATAGACATAGAGAGAGAGACACAGAAAGAGAGAGAGACCTACACAGATAGACATATAACTGAGAAACACAGAGAGAGACACACACACAGAGAGAGACACACATAGTGGGACAACCCACGTACAGAGACATACACATAGAGAGAGACACACACAGAGACACACAAAGACACGTATAGAGAGACACACACAGAGAGATACACATAGAGAGACACACACAGAGAGACACACAGACACAGAGAAACAAGCCGAAAAAGAAGATGATAAATCAACTTAGCAAATTTAGAAATGTAATGCAACTCAGAGTGGCTCAAACAACAGTTAACACTTGTTAATCACGTCCTTCCGAAGATTGCTAAATTTGCATCCATCTTCTCGGTTGAATATATGTCTGAGAAAGAGAAACAAGCCTCTGTTGAAGGAGCGCAGATTACAGTGGTTCACTATACTTACTATACATCTCTATGAGCCTCTATGTATCTCTATGAATCTTTGTTTTTCTATGAGTCTCTATGTAATTATGGGTCTCTATCTCTATGAGGCTCTATGTATCTATGAGTATCTATGTATCTCTAGGAGTATACTCTTTGGTTCTTTCGGTAAAGTCACGTAGGTATAAAATCAAATAAATTTAATCACGACGTTTCGGGCGCAATACAAGCGTCCATCATCAGGTGGGACAACCACAGCAAGAAACAATTGCTAAAGTGGGCAAAAGGGGGCTGCTGCAACCAGAGGACATATAGGCAAGAGAAGGGGGGGGGGGAGACAGGGAGGGTGGGGGTGTGGGGTAGGGAGAGTGGATGATACAAGTAAGACACAAGTACAGCAAAAAAAATGCGGGGTGGGGAGAGGAAGTGGGCGGGGAGTGGGAGAGTTAGGAAACTGGAGATGCGGATATGAAGGCAGGCCAAAAGCAGTTATGGTTTTACCTGGTTAATAACATCTTTCCAATGATTGCTCAATCTGTATCCATATTCCCGGCTGAAGTTATGTGTATGTTTATATATCTGGATGGCTTCATGAACAAACCTTTGATAGTAGCCCGAAGGTTTGCAGAGCACCTTGGTCTCAGAAAAAACAATATCATGAGAGCCGACAACGTTATAGCAATGGTCAGCCACGGCGGAGGAATTAGTTCTGCCGTGTTTCAGATCTGCCTTGTGTTCGCGAACACGGTCCGAGACATGACGTTTCATTTCCCCAATGTAACAATCACCACAGGTGCAACTTAGTTTGTAAATTCGAGGATATTGCATGTCAGGAATGACATCCTTCACAGATGGAAAATATTAGATCATCGATTTTGTGTACTGTACTGAATCGGACCTGGATCTTGTGTTTGTTTAAGATTTTGGAAATATTTTTGGCAACACCTGCTATGTATGATAACGTGATGGTTTTCATCGACGTCTCAGGGGGTTGTTTCTCCATGGTTGGAGAAACAGCTTTGTGGATAATGCGGTCCGAATATCCATTCATCTTCAGGGCCTGGTGTACGTGTTCCAGTTCACTGGCTAGGTGGTGTTGGTCAGAAATGGAGTGGGCCCTATGGTGTAGTGTTTTGATGAGGGAAATATTCTGTGCCGGATGGTGGTGCGAATCAGGTTTCATATAGGAATCTGTGTGGGTGGCTTTCCTGTAGACAGTGTCCCAAGGAGCCATCAGGTCTCTTCTCAAACAAAACATCCAGGAATGGTAGCTTACCATCCTTCTCCACTTCTATGGTGAATTTGATGGATGGGTGTATGGAATTAATGTGGTTGAGAAACTGTTTCAATGCTGGCAAGCCATGTGGCCAAATAACAAAAGTGTCATCCAAATATCTCTTCCACAAGGAAGGATGTAGGGTGGAGGTCTGGATGGCATCTGTTTCAAATTTCTCCATGAAAACATTCGCTATCACTGGTGATAAGGAGTAACCCATGGGGTACCTTTATTTTGTTTGTAGAAAGTACCATTCTAGGTGAAGTAAGTGTTGGTAAGGCAGTGCCTGACCAGCGTAGGAACATCAGGGTTCAGTCCATGTTGGACTAAATCTTCAATTATTGCTAAGGCTGTCAGGCAGAGGAACCTTGGTGAACAGAGAAACCACATCAAAGCTGACGAGAAAATCATCTTGGGACAGTGAAATGTCCTTGATTAGAGAGACCAAGTGAGCTGAGTTATGTACTGCTGAGGTAGTCTTGCCAGTGAATGGAAGCAAGGTATCATATAAAAAACGGGCCAGATTGTAAGTAGGTGAGTTGATAGTGGAAACGATGGGCCGAAGTGGAGTGCCTTCTTTATGGATCTTAGGAAGACCATAGAATCTGGGTGGTCTAGTAGCAGAAGATTTAAGGGAGATTCGTTTGACTGGTTCAATTAGAGAAGTCGAACTGGTAATGATATTATTGTTTTTTGTAGTTAGGGTGTTAGTAGGATCTTTATTGATTTTGGAGTAGCTACCATCATTGAGCAGGTCCTGGATTTTGTTGTTATATGTGGTTTTATCCATGATGACAGTAGCATTGCCCTTGTCGGCCGAGAGGATGACTATGTCATCCACTTCAGCAATTGTTTCTTGCTGTGGTTGTCCCACCTGATGACGGACGCTTGTGTGCGCGCCCTAAAGGTCATGATTTAATTTATTTTATTTTATACCTACGTGACTTTACTGAAAGAACCAAAGAGTATGGATCCCTGCAGTCACGAAAACTTCAAATCTATCTCTATGATTCTTTGTTTTCTGTGCATCTCTATATGTCTCTGTATCTCTATGTATATCTATGGGTCTCCGTAACTTTATGAGTCTCTATGTATCTCTATGAGTCTATGTATATCTCTATGGGTATCTGTGTATCTCTCTTGGTCTCTGTATCTATATGAGATTGGCTACAATCGCACGATACTAATGTGACCTGTCAGTCACAATCGCTCAATGAGTGTTGTGTTTAAGCGAAGTGGCTCTATCACGAATATTATTAATATTATTGACTCTGTTCTTAGGCACAGCAGCCAACTCATAACACCTGGATCTGGCCCGCGACCTCCTCCTGCACCTAGCCTGGCACAGCAGCCAACCCATAGACACCTGAGTCTGTCCAGTGACCTCCTCCTGCACCTAGCCTGGCACAACAGCCAACCCATAGACACCTGGGTCTGTCCAGCGACCTCCTCCTGCACCTAGCCTGGCACAGCAGCCAACCCATAGACACCTGAGTCTGTCCAGTGACCTCCTCCTGCACCTAGCCTGGCACAACAGCCAACCCATAGACACCTGGGTCTGGCCCGCGACCTCTTCTTGCACCTGGCCTGGCACAACAGCCAATCCATAGACACCTGGGTCTGGCCCGCGACCTCTTCTTGCACCTAGCTTGGCACAGCAGTCTTGGCCAGTAACAGAACTCAGGTGGCCGGGTTTATGGCAGGAGGTCACGGGGTGGCGTTATTGATTAAACGAGATGACAGGTAGATGCAGAGACAAAGATCCCCCGTATAACCTTTAACGGGCCGTTGGGGCAAAGTGCTGTGAGCGAGTAGCAGCGCACATGAGGGGGTGGGCGGCTACCATAGCGCCCGACCGCCTTTGTCTACCCAGTAGCGATGTTTACTCCACACCACCGTACCACGTGCACACATGCAAGCTGCACGCGTGGTGGTTGTTTTTCACTTCTCTTCCTGTTTTTCACTTCCCTTCCCGCTTCTTAGAGCGCTACGATGGGAAAACCCACGAATCTCTTTGGCCTTTTTGGGGGGTCAAATGACGTCTGGGGGAGTGCTCACAACGCCCGTCCGCCTTTGTCTCCCTAGTGGCGATGGTTTTTACACACTGTACCAGGTACTCATTTGAGGCTGAGTCGACGTAGGGGAGGCCCAGGACCGGTTCAGACAATCGTCACTGAGTGTTGGCCGTGAGCGGGAATCGACCCGGGTCGCCGGGTTCGTATCGCTGCACCACCAATCCCTACTACAGTACACACACACACAGTCGTACATACTCATACACAGCCGTACACACAGTCGTACACACACATACACGACACACAGTCTTACTCACACAGACACACACATACTCACACAGACACACACATACTCACACAGACACACATACTCACACAGACACACATACTCACACAGACACACATACTCACACAGACACACACAGACACACACATATTCACACACAGACACTCACACAGACACACACACAGACACACACATACACACACCACACAGACACACACACTCACACACATACTCAGACACTCACACAGACACACACACTCACACAGACACACACATACTCACACAGACACACACATACACACACAGACACTCACATACACACACATACTCACACAGACACACAGACACACACATACTCACACAGACACACATACTCACACAGACACACACACAGACACACACATACACAGACACACACATACACACACAGACACTCACATACACACACATACTCACACAGACACACAGACACACACATACTCACACAGACACACACACGCCGCCAGAACCGGTCGACCGAGTGACGCTCCCGACTCACGCGCTTCGACCCCCCCCCCCCCCCACAGGCGAACCACCCCCAACGCCGCTGGTAGCCGCCTCTGTAGCCGCGTGTTGGGCAGGCTGCGCCACACGCCCGCTCCCCCCCCCCTGCGTCTCCGTCGCATTACAAACGAGGGCCAGTCACTCTCAGAGTCACTCCACCGAGTCGCTCGCTTCCTTCTCTCGCGCTCACTCCACCATGGCTTGCGCCGCCGCCGCCACGGACGAGGAGCGCGACATCTCGTGCCCCATCTGCCTGGAGATCTTCTCCCAGCCCGTGTACCTCCGCTGCGCGCACTCCTACTGCTCGGCGTGCATCGAGCGCCACTGGGACGGCGAGGCGCTCGCCAAGTCGGGCGGCTTCTCGTGCCCGCAGTGCCGCGCCTCCACCCCCGAGAGGCAGACGCCGAGCAGGAACGTGGTGCTGGCCACGCTGGTGGAGCAGTACGGCAAGAAGCCGGAGCGCCTCTCGTCGTTGTCTCTGCTGGAGGGTGCAGGAGATGCCATCGCGCCTGGCAGGGATTCGCGCGAGGCGCCCGCGGTGAGTGGAGATGTTAACTACGTCGCTTGGTGTACGGGAGGTCGTGGGCTTGATCCCGACCCTGATGAGATGTTAACTACCTCGCCTGGTGTACAGGAGGTCGTGGGTTCGATCGCGACCCTGATGAGATGTTAACTACCTCGCCTGGTGTACAGGAGGTCGTGGGTTCGATCGCGACCCTGATGAGATGTTAACTACCTCGCCTGGTGTACAGGAGGTCGTGGGTTTGATCCCGACCCTGATGAGATGTTAACTACCTCGCCTGGTGTACAGGAGGTCGTGGGTTCGATCGCAACCCTGATGAGATGTTAACTACCTCGCCTGGTGTACAGGAGGTCGTGGGCTTGATCCCGACCCTGATGAGATGTTAACTACCTCGCCTGGTGTACAGGAGGTCGTGGGTTCGATCGCGACCCTGATGAGATGTTAACTAACTCGCCTGGTTACGCAGGAGGTCGTGGGTTCGATCGCGACCCTGATGGGATGTTAACTACCTCGCCTGGTATACAGGAGGTCGTGGGTTCGATCGCGACCCTGATGAGATGTTAACTACCTCGCCTGGTGTACAAGAGGTCGTGGGTTTGATCACGACCCTGATGAGATGTTAACTACCTCGCCTGGTGTACAGGAGGTCGTGGGTTTGATCACGACCCTGATGAATGTTAACTACCTCGCCTGGTGTACAGGAGGTCGTGGGTTTGATCACGACCCTGATGAATGTTAACTACCTCGCCTGGTGTACAGGAGGTCGTGGGTTCGATCGCGACCCTGATGAAATGTTAACTACCTCTCCTGGTGTACAGGAGGTCGTGGGTTTGATCCTGACCCTGAACGACACCTGTTTTATATATTTTGACTTTGCATGTATCTCTCTCTCCCCAAGGGTGGCGTCGTTATTTTCTGGATCCTCCGGTTTATCCCCTCCACATTCAGAATGAACAACATCCGTTCAGAGTAGTTTGACTGCTATGCATGTGCACGTGATGAGCCCACTTCGTTGAGCTATCATTCGTGATGGCCAGGTCGTTTCTGACAAAAATAGCTACGTAGCTCAGTGGGGGGCCTTACTGGGCTAAATAAGAACGGTGAAGTTCAGTGTCCGAAGTTGACTTTTCCGCTTCCGACCCTGAGGTCGATTGACGTCTCTGCACGCGTCTTGTGTCGGTGTGCGTGTGGTCCAGGCCCGGGCTGGGGAGCGGTAGTGTAGCGGTCAGCACTGCGCTACGATCGTCTGAACCGGTCCTGGGCCTCCCCTAGGTCGACTCAGCCTCAAATGAGTGACCTGGTGCGGTGTGTAAACATCGCTACTGGGGAGACAAAGGCGGTCGGGCGTGGTGCTGGCCACCCACCCTCTCGTGTGCCGTTCCGGCCTTCATAGGTGCTGCTCGCTAACAGCACTTGCCCCTACAGTCTCAGGGAGGCTATAAAAAGGGTTTATCTCCCCCCCCATCCCCACTGTTCTGCTGCACACATCGCAGCGTTTAAACTTCAGCGTACTGTCCACTTACTCTTAAGAGACACTTAAGCAGGCGGAGGTGGGTTGAGTATATGCAGGGGTGTGAGCGTGTGTGTGTGTGCAGGGGTGTGAGCGTGTGTGTGTGTGCAGGGGTGTGAGCGTGTGTGTGTGTGCAGGGGTGTGAGCGTGTGTGTGTGTGCAGGGGTGTGCGCGTGTGTGTGTGCGCAGGGGTGTGTGTGTTTGTGTGTGTGCGTATAATGGGGAACTGCAATGTAGCGCGGTTCGCACGCTGCGCTACGAACTCGGAGACCAGAGTTCGATTCCCGCTCACGGCCAACACCCAGTGACGATTATCTGAACCGGTCCTGAGCCTCCCCTAGGTCAACTCAGCCTCAAATGTGTACCTGGTGCGGTGTGTTAGTAAACATCGTCACTGGGGAGACAAAGGTGGCCGGGCGTGGTGCTGGCCACCCACCCCCTCGTGTGTCGTGCCAGCCTCCATAGGTGCTCGCTAGCAGCACTTGCCCCTACAGTCTGTTGAGGCTTTACGGGCGATGTTTATTTTATCTTTGTTGTGCAATGGGGGCGGTTGTGGGGAGGGGGGGGGAGCGTGCTTTTGACCAGCTGCAGTTTGGCAACCGAGGTCTCCGAATCAGTCGAGCGGCATTATCTTTTCATTAGCTGTCCAACGCTTTGTGGCTCTGTTGCTCCACACGCCAGGTCTCATCTGTCGGAGTTATGCCCTCCCTCCACTATGCTGGTGAAACGTGGAGCCTTTTTTAAAGGAGGAACATCTGTGCCGGTCAAAAAACATTCAGGCTTGTCCTGCCTACGATCCGTACTGGGTATTAAACACGCTTTTTTGTGGGAGGAGCTTACAGATCTTTGAAATATCTGGACACACTACCATCGGTGAGATCTTCCAGCAGGCAAGGCTGCGTTGGCTGGGTCATGGAGCCCACATGCCCATCCAACGCATGCCTAAACAGCTTCTGTTCGGCCGGATAGAGGGGGCTAAAGGAGCACGGCACGGGCTGGAGAAGAGATCGAACTTTTGAGTGATTGGGTGGCTGAGTGGCATGGGCTACAGAAGAGATGGGACTGATGGGCGAGTGGGTGAGTTAGTGAGTGGGTGGGTAAGTGGGTGAGTGACATGGGCTCGAGAAGAGATGGAGCTGATGGGTGAGTGGGTGAGTTTGTGAGTGGGTGCATTATTGGCACGGACTACAGAATATATTAAGCTGATGTGATACAGGAGGATGTGGAGCCGAGTGGACTGCTGATGACCAGTACCAGCGGTGTCAAAATCGCCCCCTGAGGAGGTTCTTGAAGGACGCTACTGGGCAGTTGGAGGGAATCGACAAGTTTGTAGGGCAGTGCGCTAACCGCTGCGCCACCACTCCACCCCTCTCTCTCTCCTTGCGTGAAGCCGGTCGTTCATTGTACTCTCCAAATGTCGATGTAGCCAAGGCACACCCCCAAATTATTTTGTGATTTTTTTTTGTCATTGGTTGTATTTCCCAGTCATTAATTTTAGCCTTGCCCTTAAAGCATTGCTCTCTCTCTCTCTCTCATATATCCCTGTATTTATAAACAATAGTGTCAACGCACATTTGACACTTTCCTAGCTAAACAATCATAATAATAAAATCGTTTCCACGGCCAGGTACGAACCGGTCGCTTCCGAATGTCACGTGAGCGCCGCCTAGTGCCGGCCATCTATTAATGCGGACAGGGAATCTCGCGAAGGTGCAGCAACCACCACATCAGAGATGCGGGAAAGGACAACAAACTATGGGTCCATGTACGAGTCTATGAGTCTCTGTGTGAGTCGATGTACTTATGTATGTTGAACTAATTTTGCACTACCGTACGTAGCCAACCGTACTAGTCGGAGGTGTGGGGGAAGGACAACAAACTTAACACAAAAAGCAATTCTGAAGAAATAAGTTATCGGTGTAGTTTAGTGGTGTAGTATATAGTGTGGTATATAGTAGTGTAGTGCATCGTGTACTTTATAGTAGTGTAATATGCAGTACTGTAGTGAATAGTGTAGTGTATATAGTGTAGTTTATAGTAGTGTAGTATACAGTATTGTAGTGTATAGTGTAGTTTATAGTGTATAGTAGTGGAGTATATAGTAGTGTGTATTTATGTTGGACTTCTTTTGCACCGTGCTGGTAAACATGCAGGTTACAGATGATAAGTGAAGTGGCGCGTTCGTTAGGAGTTAGCACAGTCTAACGTAAAGACCGTTTTAAACCAAGCAGACAAAATGACGGCTTCTATGCAGAAACCCGTTTCCTCTTGTACCCCCATCTCTGAAGTCCTGGAACGCACTAAAGGCCACAATTGGCCGCCAGTGGCCAGCGGACCTTGTAATGAAGAACACTGCCCTCACTCCAGGCATCTGCTAAATGGTCGTGGTGCTTTGTTTGAGTGGTTCACTCAGCTCCCTTTGTCCTTACCCTAGAAGCCCACTTCGCCCTATTGCTACCCATCATGGCACAATATTCGGTGTACGAGGAACAACAACGTCATTTGTTTCCTTGCGGTGGCGAGATGTTATCTCTCTCGCCTGGTATCCAGGATGTCGTGGGTTCAATCCCGACCCCGATGCCTGCTGTATATTTGGAGTTTCCGTGTTCTCTTCTTGGTAGCGTGGATTTTTCTCCCTGGGTCCTCCACTTTTCATAGATAGCCTGCAGAATGGTGAACTGCCGCAGAGCTGCACGAGGGCAAGAAGGATGGTTTGCACCTCATTAAGAACTGACAGCCTGTGTACCTCTTTTGCACAGACTAAGATCTTATCCAAGGATCTGGCGAATCGTGTTTGAGTTAGCAATTGGGCAGCTGGTCCAGTCTGAGCAAATCGTATTGCGTCTCAGGCTGATGCGTATACGACAACAATGTACGCACACATCAAGAACGCAATCACTCTTGCCGAGAAGGGTGGACCTTGAGTCGTCAGAGTTTCTCCTCCTAGACCAGCAGAAAGTATTTGACTGAGTCGGACAGGAACAGTTAAAACAAACCACTAGTCATTTGGGTTTGGCAGGGGTTCGTTGCTCACGACAGGCTTCCATATGCGGGCACATCCAGCCTCCTGAAGGTTAACCGGCAGCTCAGCGCTCCTTTCTCTGTGACGAGGGCAGTGAGGTAAGGCTGTCTTCTATTGGGGCTGTTGTACAGCTCAGACGTCGTCCGGCTTCAGGCTTCCCAGTGCAGAACACGCGCTTATTAAGGTATTGGCTTACAAGGACAATGTCTGCATGGTTATTAACCCTTTCCCCAATCCGAAACGATTGCTGGAAATTCAGGGTGGGTGTCCCATTCACCTGCCGAATCTCAACGCACATGCGTTAGTTTTATTTAGAGATGGCATAGAGCTGCTATTTTTAAAGACATTGCACTCACCGCAGAGAACCGTAGCGACACTCTACGATAGCTGGCGCCAAACTGAGCCACACGCCTTCCCACGTTGCCTTATGGAAGCCTCGGTACTGATAGAATTATTTTATTTTTTCTTCTGATTCTGTTCCGATGACATACGTGCATGTCATCAGTTTCCCGTTCCGATGACCTAAATGTACTTACACGAACATCATTGGAACGGAAAAGGCTTATTGATGCACAGGACTTGTCCGCTCTGCGCGAAGCAGTAGATCTGTATGAGAGCATCCTCCTCTGCACGGGTAAGCTAGGGAGCAAAAATCAAGGCGCTTACTTGGGGTCACGGTGCGTGGTGTGGTCTTTATCTCTCTCCCAGGTGGGGTTGGTTGGGAGATGGACGGTGTAAACAACTGCAGCGTCCATTTGGGGAAATCACTCGTCATGGGAAACAGAAAAATCTGGGAAGAGGCATTTGAGAAGAGCGAGCTCCAATTGCGGCCCTGGGCATGACTCCCCACCTTGGATGTCATTTCAGAGGGGCGAGTGCTCGTTATTCATAACTTGCCAGCATCCAAGCTGGGGCATAAAGTTGTAGTCCTTCAGCCTCCTGCTTGACACGTGCATTTATTTGGTTATAACAGTTTTCTTCGTTGTGTCTCCTGTTCAATATTCTGCACAGGCCACCGCTTATGGTTTTGGTGTAGTGTGTTGTACGGAGGCACCCACTGGAGTTGGAGGCAACACGCTTATTTAATAACTCCCCGACAGGGTAACTTAACTAAATGTACACTGATTCTACTGCTAAGTTATAGCTACACAGTTAACTATGTGAGTAGCGGGTTAACTACACGAATGGGTCAGTCAGCCTACACGCTGCCTGACCCACGATGCTGAGTGAAGACCGAAGACGACGAGACGCAGCACAAAGGGTTGATTCCAGAGACGAGCCTAGAATGCTCTCGGGACTGCCCCATTACGCTCCTGTGACCTTTCCCAAAGGATCTCGAGGGAGCGTCACGTGTCCCTCAAGCCCCCCTCGGGCCCCCCTCATTACCCTGTCCTGGTCACGTGCCCTCTCGGGTTCACCCAGACTACCATGTCCTTTCTCAGGCCGCCACCAGGACTATGTCCCCGAGGGCCCGTTCGCATACCATATTTACTCTGTCCCCAGACAGAGGTTCCAGATGCACAGTAGCACTCTTATGACAGTGCCTGGCGCTCCCACTATAGTGACACCCTTAACATCACTACATTGGCATTGCCAAATCTTGATATTGTCAATTGTGGTTCTGCAGGGCATCTCAGGCAGATGATACATGGTTTGATTATCTTAATAAGCACATAGGTCGGTTGTGTAGAAGTCCCCCATGATTTTACAAGAGAGCTGCATCTGCTGAGACCCACTCTCTTCAGTCTGTTTAGGCTCTGTCATGTGTGCGCCATTTGGAATTGGGGGGTGATTACTCGCTGGCTCCATTCAGTAGCTTTGTCGCTTGATTTTTCCCATTCTTTTTTGCCAAAGGGCAGTTCTGGCAGATTCCGGTGATGTGGTTACACACACGCTGAGCACTATAAGGTGCGCGTGAACCCACTGTGCACCAATCTAAATGGTGTAAGTTGCTGCTCATGCAAGTGCTTTGCTCCTGGGCAGCAATAACCTCGGATTTGAAATACAGGAATCTCTCGCCAACTGCAGATGTTTCAACTGCGGTTTCATGTTTATACGGTTTATTATTTTGTATACCAACCGCAGCCTGGAAATTTGAGTATCCATGGATAAGCATGGTGTTAAGGAAGTCACATGACATGTGTTATGTCATTGCATTACAGCATGACATCATTGCATGGCGTGTCGTCATTATATGAATAACAACCCGTGGCGCTGCTTAGCTGATCAGCTGTCTCTGTTTTGTTGTACATACTGTACTCTAATTCTTGCAGCGCATAGACCACTTTGCATCACAACCGCATTCACATAAATGTTGCCCTTGATCATGGACCCGAAGCATGCAGTGAGTGGTAAAGGTGTTAAAAAGGCTAAGGGAGCAAGAAAATGTTAGAGGTTTCCAGAGTAAAGTGGTAGTGTTAGATAGGCTTGTACGCAGTGAGAGCATTGCGTCTGTGGCCCGGAGGAAGAGTGGAAGGGTGGGCTGAGGCCCTCCTAATAACCAACCCTTCACCCATCATCTTATTGTCATCATCATCGTCGTTAAATATTGAACGTATGTAAAGCTAAAGTAATGTTTATTTTCTTTTTATGATATTTTATTATATTATACTTTTATTTGGTGTTTAGTTAATGAACAGGTAAGTTAGTTAAGCTCTGACGAGTCTGACTGCAGCCATTGTTCCCCTAACCCCCTATTTCCCATAAGCCTTTAGTCTCGCCCATTGCGGTTTTGCCAACCATAGGGGTTTTCATGAACCTATCCCCTACGGTTGGTGAGGGATTGTTGTAGCAAAAAATCAACTCTTCCCCCCCGCCCCATCTCTCTCCCCCCTCCCTCCACCTGTCACATCATCCTAACAACAACAGAGTGACTATGAATCGGCCCGCAACAAGCTTCAGGATATCTACCCGGAGTGGACAGAGAAGCGGGAGGCAACCATTGAGAACCTGCAGGGGATGGTGCAGGCGATACGCGAACGGCAGAAGAACGTCAACATCGCCAAGGTGACCGGCAGCGCCACAGGCATCGTCGGTGGCGTCTTGTCCATTGTCGGCCTGGCCCTCATCCCCGTCACCTTTGGCGCGTCCCTGGGCCTCATCATCGGCGGTGCTGCCATGGGAGTGGCCGGGGGGATCACGGGCGCCGGAGCTTCGATCGCCCTCACCGTCCTCAACAGGATGGACAGCACCGAGGCGCAGGAGCTCCTGACGCAGGACACGGAGCTCAGCGTCAGGTTGCACGAGGCCATGGTGAGACTCAATAGGGCGGCAGCGGGCAGCGGTGAGGGCGTGAGTCCCGGGAGCTTGAACCTGCCTCAGGTGGCGAAGAACATCACACAGATCAGCATTGCGGCAGCCACGGTGGCGGAGGACGTGGCGGTAGGGGCGCTGAGGGGCACGGCCGGGGCTGCGCTGCGAGTAACAGGCTTCGTGCTGAGCAGCGTCTTCCTGGTGGTGGACCTCGCGAGCGTGGTACACTCCAGCCTACACCTGAGCAACGGCAGCCCCTCTGAGGTTGCCGATCAGCTGCAGGAGGTCGTGGACTCGCTCCAGGGTCATTTGGACCAGATGCACAAACTCTACTACGAGCTGTGAGGCCACCCACACTGGCATCTCCAGAGTGTACTGCACAACTTGCGTGGCGTACGTAATATATGATTGTGACGATGACAGTTTGGTGACCGTAATTACAATCTGCTCTTGTATAATGCGATGGTAGTTGTTCCTGAAGAACACCACTTTATGGAAAAAATCGCGTTATAATAAATAATATATAATATTTGGTAAAGCAGAGTCCACAATAACACGTGATATTATGCGTACGCAGGCTGAACACAACACTGAGGGGTGGTGGGTAGCATCTAGAAGCATCCTACAACAGCAACCCGATGCCTTGTGCGATGCTACTCTGAGGCAGCCGTACAACCACTACTCGTACTCGCACTACGCAGTTCCGTTCACTCAATCGCATTATAACGAATTCACATTCGCATTATAAAACATTTGTTCCCTAATACATTCATGTTATATTCAATTCGCGTCATGCAAACACGTGTTATATGAGAATAGACTGTATATGATGATTGTGATGACAGTTGGGTAACTGTCGTCAGTATTTCTCCTACTGCTGCTAGAACGTGCGATAAACTACATCCCTTGTTGTCAATCCAATACTGGGATGAGTGTCTCACCATACTACGAGGGTCTATTAACTATAACCACAGTAGACTCTCGATTATCCGAGTGCCATTTATCTGATTTATGGATTAACCGCACACCTCAGATTTTGACATTTATTAATAATTCATGGATTTTCCCTTAAGCCCAAACTAATAATAATCAAATTATTATAGTTATTATAAATGTTAATTACAAGTCACGTGCTTAAACCGAACAAATATGTTAATCCAAAAACCACGTGATCGCCTCTACAGTACAGTAGTTGCAAATATTTTCAACAGTGGGCAGAGTTTGATTGATGTTGATTGGCATGGCTCTGCTGTTCACCTAGTGGGCCGAATCTTCTGCTGGGCAGGACCAGGAAAGTCTTATCACTGAACACTCGTATCATCGATCATTAGTATTCATTCTTAATTTATACCAATATTCGTAGTTTTTGTCATGGAGATCTGCAGAAAATGGATACTTTTGAATTATTCACGATTTTTAATGATCTATGGCCATCCTCCCCGTCATTAGCGCAGATAAGTTAATCTACTCTAACATTTTTTATTTTACCGGGGAAGACCCACTCACCTGGCCACAAATGATAGCTCAGCAAAGTGGCTTATCATGTGGGAATTTATAGCAGCCAAACACTCTGAAACGCATGTTTCTGAATATGGAGGGAATAACCGGAGGACCCGGAGATAAATCCATGTGACCACGGGGAGAACATGCAAACTCCATGTATACAGGCGTCGGGGGTCCGGTTTGAACTAATGAACTCCTGCATACCAGGCGAGATGGCTAACATATCTCCACAGTAGCACCCTTGGGAGTGGTGGTGTAGCTAATTAATCGTTCCTTACTGTGTGACATAGACGACAACGGTTTGGCTTCCTTCCGCAGTGGGGAAAAAAATAACTAGCCCGATGCTACGTGAGCCGCATGGTAACTGCCGTATGGTAACCTGGTATGTGGCCTCGCTTGCCCTTCAGTGTTAGCACGCACAAGGCAATTGATTACTGAATATGCTCAAGCCAACAGATTAATCGTAGACAATTTGATGCTGAGCAATCGGCTCCGATCGATAACAGTAACGACCAACCAATCGCCGGTGGCAACATTTTCTTTCCGAAAAATGGGAGAAAAAGATCAATTATATGCACAGCAGGAAAGACAGGCGGTCTCTGGTTTACAATGATCCAATACACCGACGATCTATTTACAATGCATAAACTTGATTTTAGGACGCACCTTCCAAAACATTTGAAGAGAGTCGGTCTGGTTTACGGTATGCATTGGCACGTGGATCTTTTGGATTTTTTTGTGGATATTTATCTATTCAATCCTGTTACTGATGGCTGATGAAAGAAAACACACATCGGCCTAGTGATCTTTCTACTTTTTCTACTGTCTATGGGAAATAGGGTCCGATTTACGACGGGGTTTTGAGGAACGCATTGTGTCATAAAAGTGGCAATCCACCTGGAAAGGTTTTCAGAGGCAGACTTTGCAATAGTGACCATTGGCAATTGTATTGTGCTGATGAGTCCTAATACAGATGAACATGCTACCACAGTTGCATATCACTTCTACCTCTCAGTTAGTCACATTGGCTCAGTTAATTTTGATGGTGACCTAAGAAAAGATGACTACAATGCTGTTCTTCAGGAAATGTTGACGATTATTACATTATGCGCAAGGGTTGAGTGCGTTTTACACTTTTGTGTTTAAAACACATGGTATAAACCTACAATTAAGGCTTTTTAAACCAACTCCTATGAATCATAAACATGTCTGTTTATATATTGAGCTTTCCAAGAGCATATAGCAATAACATAATATTTTTTGTCAAATTTTTATGGACCTCTGATCGATTCCCTGTAATAGTCATGGACAATTGCTATCTGAACCCGGTACCTTACTTGTCTTAAGCTCTCGCACACGCGAGGCGATTGATGACAGAGTCTACTCGAGCCGACAGATTCATCGTAGACTATTGGATACTGATCAATCGGCTTCGATCGTCAGAGAAAATGAACAACCAATCACCGGAAACAAATTTTTAAGGAAAAAAAAGAACAAATTTAAATAAAACATCTCGTACATTTGTGTGCTTGAATGACAGTAGCATTTCCCGAGTCTAACTTTTAAGCCCCAAAATACAAGTTGAAGAAAGAGCACAATTTATGATAAATTATCCATAATACAGGTTTGTTGGGTTAAATCGCGTAAATATATTAATGTGTCGTTAAACCCTCCACCACCAGACACTGCCAATTAGTAAGGTTTGTCACAAACAGAACAAAATGTTGTGGCTTTGCTCTCAAACACAGCGGTGTGCTGTACAAGTAACGAACTGGCATGTTTTGTTTACGTGACAAACTTTACTATTGGCTATGTCGGGTGGTGGCAGGTTTAACGACACATTTATATATTTATGCGATCTAACCCGAAAAAAACCTGGATTATGGATGATATTGGTCGCGAAAGCCTACAGGATCCTCCCAAAACTCAATGGTGATCACAGATGCTCATCATATCTTACAACCTTGAACATACATATTATTTAAAAAAACATTTAACAAATAACATTTTAACATCGAACATAAAACATCTGTAGTACCTCTTAAATTCCGTAGTCCCTAATTATACTGTATAAACGAAACAATGTCACAGGCGTTTTTTGTAAATACTCTAACGCGTGGCTCAACTGCATGGCAGGACCTGTTCGGATATCACATGCCAATGATAATAGCCGTAACCGGGAATCGAACACAAGTCGGCGAGGGAATGCAATGAATAAACAAAAAAATACACAAGCAAAACCTCTGTGTGTGGATGTTTGTGCATTTGATAGTATACTTTACACCCATACAAGCTGTGCACATTCCTATACAAGTGTCTCCACCAATCTGCTCCACGCCATCTGGTGGACATGTGGTGTGTGCCTGTACATCCACTCATCCATCCACTCATCCACATGTGGTTTGTGCCAGTACACCCACTCACTCATCCACCCACTAATGACCCAACCCACTTATCCACTCAACCACCCACCTACTCATCTCCCCACCCACTCAAATGTGGTGTGCCTGTGCACCTCGCTGTCAATCGTCACCATCTTCATTCGGCAGCTCATGATGACCTAAGCATCATCTTACTTATAAATGTAATTTTTGTCTGTCTGTGTGTGTGCGCACGCTTGTTTAATTCGTAGTTTCGTGGTAATGAATTGAAGGTGGAGGGGTTACCAGCCCCTCCCAACCGTCCAGAGCCCCCGTTTAGCTGCTGTGGTGGTCACAGATGCCATGAAGGGAGAGGCCAATGGGCATTGCCCCTCCCCCCACAGCACTGTCCACGACAGAGTTCCCCGTCCGGCACCGCGAGGAGGTAGGGGGTTGTTTTGCCGGACACTTCACGTGGCCTCAAGGTGCAAATGGCCTGTCACAAGCATCGTGGTGATGTCACCGCCACTTAGTGGCGAATGGCAGTTGTTGTGCGCATGCTTGCGAGGGATTTGGCTCTCAAATTGTAGGGTTTACGTAAAAAGTAAAAAAGGCAGGTACCACGCCGTAAGCCCTGCAGTGAGTAAGTGCTATTCCCTTTTCCCATACGTAAACTTTTAAGTACTTTATTTATCGATTTTGTGCAGTTTTCGTTAATAGATTTACTAAATAGCGCGCGATCAACCATACCAACTCACACGCCTTCGCTGGGGGGGATGGCCCCTATCAAGTCACACGCATTCCGTGGGGATGAGGGGGCCATTTTTTTATGCTTTAAAAATTCAATCAAAATACACATAACGCTTAAGGTTAATTCTTCACAGTGTGATGTCCTCCCCCCCCCCCCCCACCCCGATGCGTGAAGTTACTACTATAGAGTCCATAGATATTAATTTTATAGCGCTTAGATAATATTATCGTAGCGCGGACGGGGAGATGGTGGGGGGGGGGGGGGGTAGCGGCCCAGCCCCCAGCCTGCCAAGGTGCCACCTCGGCCGGCTGGCCAATCTAGGTGAGGCCGGGGGCTCTGCACGGGACTAGGCCTCACCACGGCAATGTTATGTCCAATTTTCTTGCTTCTTTTGCTAAACTCACGTTGATAGAAACCTATTATTTAAATAATCACCTTGCTTATATTACATCAATAATGTTTGTGTGCAGATAACTAATATTTATATTCCTTGCTTCTTTCACTAAACTCACGTAAATAGAAACCTATAATTTTTATATCACCTTGGAAATATTAAAATATTTTTGTTTGTGTGCTAACATACTCTTAGGTTTTTTTGGTAAAGTCGCGTAGGTAAAAATAAATAATAAATAATAGAAATAATAGAAATAAAAAATAACCAGTGGTTACAGTAATTCTAGCTGTGACGGTCCCACCTGATGACAAGAGACTTGTGTTGCCTCCGTAACGTCGTGATTTATAATTTTTATTTCTATTAATATTTCTATTATTTTTATTATTTATTTTTACCTACGTGACTTTACCGAAAAAACCTAAGAGTATGAATTCATGCAGTCACAAAAGCTGCAAATCTAGAATGTGTGCTAACAACAAATATTTCAAACTTTACTTGGTCAATATGAATATATTTATTATTGTGTCTAAGTCCTTGTGTGAGTCCCTGTGCATGTCTGCCACCATGTGTGTGTGTCTACGTCTGTGTGTGTCTGTGTGTCAATCGATGTGTGTGTGTTAGTCAATGTGTGTGCATGGTGTGTGTACACAACTAATGAACTATTAGGTTACTAGATTTTTTTATAATAATGTAATAAAGGTCGTTGAAGCGACTTCTGGAATCCGGTCTTTATTCGTCTTTCATTACAACACTCCTTCACGCTGCTGACAGACAGCGTGAGAGGGATAGAAAGAGAGAGACGCGCGCAGTCACGTGGCAGCCTGGACCCCCGCTCTCGCGTGGCCTCTTCCCTTTGTTCGTTCCAGTTCTGACCACGTGTTGTTCGTCTCCACCCCTATTTAATACCCGGGTCACGTGGTACATTTCCACCAATCCTGGTTAGCCACTATGGAATCTTCCAGACTCCACCGTAGGCTCCCGGGACCACTCCCCTGACTCGTCTCCCCATTGGCTGTGGCTAAAGCCAGCAGAACCAATCCTCTACTTACAGCTGTCACCTTTCCATTACATCAGGGCCATG